AAATGTTTTACAAAATACAGGACCAATATAAACATATAAAATCCTGCATCTGCATGTTAAAATATGTATCACACTCTATAGAACGAATAACATACTAGCATTCATGGACAAAGGACAATAGAGTAGATGTTATCTGTAGTGGACAAACAGCGCATGCTCTGTCTGGAAAGACGGCATCGTGTTAATGTTAGCTAGCTATACTGGAGAGATTTTTACTGGCAACAAAACACATAAAACCGAATTGTTAACTTCATAAAAACATGGCGAATTTAATCTATGACAATTAATATCCAACCTAATAAAGCCAGTTCAACTTTTATGTGCTTTACAAATTAGTTAACATTGTTTTGTCCACAGACATTCACAGACACGCAAATCCTCCGTAGCTTTGAGGATAACCCAATAATCCTTTGCTATTACTACTCAATGCAGGTACAAACTTACAACAGCAGGTACAAACTTACAACAGCAGGTACAAACGTACAACAGCAGGTGGCGTAGTTGTCCCATTTAGCGGGATTTAACCTGAACCTCTTCAACTATGTTACACTTTCATTTCAAACACATTTACATACAACTACTTGTTGACTGCAGTCACAATAAATCTATCACATAAATGTAGTGCAGTGAAAAGTAAAATATTTGCCCCTGAACTGTAGTGGAGAGGAAAGTACCTTATAAGAGTATAGTAATAGAGTAAATATACCCCCCACTACCTGTGAATTCTTACTAAAAAAAACCTGCAGAGGTTCCGGTAGATTCCTGCCAGGCTGAATACAAGCTCCAGGTTTAGAGGGGGATAAACAGTACTCTCTCTCTCTCTGTAGCTTCCTGCTGCCAGAGGACTGAAGTCAGTTAATGTGACTGAGGTTCTTATCTGCATACTGCAGGCGGTTGTTGGGAGGCTGCAGTGGGGTGGACAGACTGATAAAGAGACATGTTTCTGACTGATTTAATCTGAAAATGTTAAAGATTCCGTTTCGTTGTCACCCCTGCAGAGTTCAACTGAACCTGCAGGACAAACAACCAGATCAGACTGTGAGGGTCCAGAACTCAACCCACTGTAGTTTCAATGTCACACTGTTACTTTAATAATGAGAAGATATATAGAAGCTCACAGACAACAAGAGACAGAGCCTTAAATATTCTTTACAGGAGCACTTTGGACGAACCCCGTCAGTTCAGGACTTTTACAAACTGTCAAGGCCTTGATTGTTTTCCTGCAAATCCAGTGACATTATAAAAGGTCACAGAGGTCACTTCCTGTTTTTCATTTCCCATCTGCTGACTGTCTCTGAACACTGCCGCTCCAATACTGCAGATACATTTCCTTCAGGCTCGTCGTCGTCTGCAGGGTGAGATTATATTTTTCAGCCCATTTTTATTGTGATCAATAACTAAATCAGCCAGTAATGGTCAGCAGCTTTTGTACAGGCAAAATATTTTTTATATATATATTTTATGGGCCTAATCTCAACAGAAACACACAGAAATAACAGAATCCAGCACATAATGTGTACCAACACTGAGATTGTACGAGGGGTGCCCAGTTAGCTCAGTGGGTAGAGCTGGCGACCCATGTACCGAGGCTGAGTCCTTGCTGCAGCGGCCCAGGGTTTAAATCCAACCTGCGGCCCTTTGCTGCGTGTCATCCCCTTTCTCTAACCCCCTTTCCTGTCTATCTTCAGCTTTATCTATCAAATAAAGGCAATAAAAGGACAAAAAAATAACTTAGAAATAAAAAAAGAGATTGTACGAGGTCTTGTTTCTTTATTTTAATCCATCTTTCAAGTACTTTCTAGACCTGTAGCAACCCTGAGTCTGTTCTCGAGGGCTGCAGGTGGAAGAAGAAAATTGATCTTGTGTTGCAAACGGCAGCTTACATGTTGAACATCACTGCTCTCCTCTAAACAACAACAGGGCTGCAAAAAAAAATAAACAGGAAGTGTACAAAGTATCAGTGTGTGCTAAAAGTGGAACAACAGAGTAACCACATTAAACGCCCCAGTTTGTGTTCATCAACAGCCACAACCCCAACTGACACATAGTTCCCGCTCTTTTTAACAAATCATTCATCATTAGTTTTTCTAATTTCTCTTACAAACGCTCACATCACATTACATTAATTTGGGGGCCACAAGCCTTTAAATAAAAACAAAAGCTGGGAAATCAAGAAAAGAATTTATTTTATTTTACAAAAAATTAATCTTAGAGAAAGTTAGTGTTTGTTGCATGTACAGTTAACATGTGCACATATTTATCAACCACTGCAACAATATGTATATAGTTTATTAATATTATTAACATTTTAACCCATTTCCAGGTGTTTCCATGAGTAGAAAACTAGTTTCCAGGCTGCGTGGGAAACCTGCTAATAGGCGATTATTGGCAATTATTTTCTAAATAAACTATTGAACCTATGAAATATCAAACAGTGAACAGCTCACAGCTGTTTGTCTAAAACCTAAAGAGATTCAGTCTGATACTAAATAAATGAAAAACTGAAAAAATTATTTATTTTCTGCTGATCAATGAACTGATATAAACGAAGTTCACAGCAGGGCCTGTAAATAAATCTGAGTGTCTGTCATTGTCAGAACAGAGTTTATCCACATTCTTCAGGTCTGTAACATAATATATTATAATATAATTATAATATTATAATTATATCATAATATTATAACATAATTATAATATCTCTCGCAGTTGTTTTGGTTTTTGTGTGTTTTTGGTATTTGC